GTTATGGTTTAAGCATTTGCCAAGCCAAGTGACAGACGTTCTTGCTGTATGAGCAACCTCGATCCAATTCCACAACTTTTCGTTAGCCCGGCTCGTTTGCATATGTGAGACATTTTTAAATCTCACTAATATATATTCAAATGCTCGCACATTTTTAAAAAAAATGTGCAAACAAATCTTTTACGATGCACGAACAGTTCCTAAATGTGCGGTGAACGTCTTTGAATTTTTTATGTAAATTAACTTTTAAAATAAATATATTAGAACATTTCAAATTTTAAATAAAGTTTAAATAAAAAGAAGAAAATATTGCTTTAATGGGTCACGTATACAAGAAGATCGGCCAATGCTCTAAATATTTAAGTTTCTCAGACAGTTAGTTTAGTGAACTACTCCCTCCGTCCGAAAATACTTACCCTAAAAATGGTTGTATCTAGAGTTATTTCTAGGACATCCATTTTCAACTATTTTTAGGACAAGTATTTACGGACGGAGGGAGTAGGAGCTAACCCGTGTGTTGCCGGTTGATAGACTGAAAACATTGATAATTAGGTTGATCGTGAATGATTGTGAGAATTAATTATAATGTGATGACAAATGATTTGCCAGCCATGCATGATTTGTTGATGCGAAAGAGTTGCTAAAAAAATAGTTAGGGAGTGGCAGATTAATGATATGGCGGACATGTATGGTTTGTTTATGGAAGCATTGCATGCTTAGGAAAAAAATAGTTAGTGGGAAGATATTTTTTTTGAGGGGTTACGACAAGAAGATAGGAGCGTCGCTTATGGGCTATGGACGAACCATAGCACTACTGGGCTAGGCCTATTGTAGTTGGACCGGATGGATTACAATGGACTGCGCCGAGATTGCCTATTTATTTTCTGTTGGGAATACCGGGAGCAACTAGTTAACGAGCGCTCCTTAACTAGTGTCACTTGGCGTACTCTCAGCCATTTGCCACGTGTCGCGCTCTGGACGCTCCCTTTGGATTTTGTTTTTTTATTTTCGCGAGAGTCACGGTTTTTTTCGGCTTTTTAAATGGTTTTTTTTCCGATGTTTTGGTTTTCTCCCGGTTTTTTTAGCTTTTCGATCAATTTTTTTTGAAAAATAGTTTTTTTGCATGAAAAAAATGCATTTTCTTTTTTTTTCCT